GAGACTGCAGCCAGTCTGGGCTCCCCTCCCTCCTCCAGCTTCCCTGCCTGCTGCCATCCCGAGGGGCGGTGCAGCACATCCTGGGAAGTGGAGGGGTCGGTTGGGGCCACATGAGCACATGGTGTAGCCACGTGAGCGTGATGCAGTGGGGGGTGCCCACACTGCATGCCTGACCTGGTGTGTCCCGTCCCTCCCCCACGGTTGCAGCCTGCCAGGAAAGCAGCCCCCGGTCACTTAGAAGTTCAACAATGCAAATGGAGAAAACCTGCCCCTGCTGTGAGTGCGGAGCCTCCTGCAGGGCCAAGGGCAGGACTGGGTGTTGCCCTGCCCCAAACAGCAAGCAGTTCACATCCTATGTGGATCCTCCCACCCTCCCCTCAGCAAAGGGCTAGCCAAAAACTGCTGCTGTCTGGCCTTAAGGGAAAACCTTCTTGCTCTTCCCTTCTCTGCGCATTTCCCCAGCAATAGGCCTAGCTCCTATGACTGTGAGCAAGGGTGAAGGATTTGCCCCTTAGTGACTGGCCCATGGCTTTGCAGAAGTCCAGGTGGCAGAGGGGGAATCAGAACCCCGTGGCTTGGCTTTGTTCCTCTATTTTAGGTGTGTCTACCATACTATTCAGAGCACCTTGTACTCCATAGATTAAACTGTTCCTGTCTTCACATTTCCTGTTTTCATAGCACTCTGCGCTAGAGGCCTGGATGGAAGTTCAACCCCTTCCTGATGGATGTTCACTTACAGCATTGCACAGGTGAGCCCGCACAGTGAGGGAAGAACTAGGCCCTTGCTTCCCCTTCTGAACCATTGGAGACAGGCTAGCAAATAGGGTGGAGCAATGCGCCAACGAGGCATATTCTCAAAAAGCGGCAGACTGCAATTTCCAAGTGGTTTCCCTTGCATTAGCAGCTGTGATTGGAAAGTTATGGTTCAGATGCTATCTGAGTGCAGTACGCAGCAGCAACATGCCAAGGACACTGGCTTTTCTCAGCAGGCGCGTCAGACACTCCAGACCTGCACTCACGTGTCCCTGCGACGACCGTCTCAGTTGCTCCCCACTCCCGCCCCCGGTTCGTCTAGTCGAACTTCTTCTCGATATCACATTGACCCATTATCTCTGCTTCTTATTGAAAAGCAATTTTATTCTGTGAAGTCTAGTTGTGAGATCAAGCCCATGTGAGATGGTTTTATCTGTCTTCCTAGTTATACATTTTAGTATTGCTGCCAGATAAGCAGAGGAACAGCACATAACTCTCCTGTTCCAAGCCATTTATGTTGTCAGAAGTCAATTATCTCCTTGCATCTTGGGAAGTGGCAAAAACTAGACAAATTATTATTTTGTGGCCAAATGGACTTTAAATTACTGCTCTTTCTTAAGCAGAAAATGGTTTATTGAGCGAAGTTTTTCCTTCCCTTACGAAAAAGAAAATTAACCTTTTCTGGCAGGGAATCAGGAGTCCTACTA